CGTGGTAAGAAATAAAGCAATATCAGGAAGGCAATCTTTAGCTGTCAAGCCAACCTAGAGTTCATTTCAATGTTGTTGTGTTTTCTGGGCAAACAAAGATTGAGCTACAACTATATGAAAACATTGTCTAATAATCTCAATTTTTGACTAGTGATGGTTTTTCCTTTCGTTGATTTAAAACAATTAATGATGCAGCTGAGTATCTTGTGAAGAATTGTGGAGATCGTGGAGGGTGTTATCCATCGAGGCCGTAGGCCGAGGCGGATAACACCCACCGAGATATCCATAATTCTTCCTATGATACGAAAACCGAAGTCGATAATTATTTTATTATTCATCCAAAGTAATCCCTAGTTTAAAAACATAGCCAAAACAAGTTTTCCTCAATCGATGCTCACTTCATCTTCGATAGTGCACTTTTAGGGTTGTTCAGCGCCGCAAATATCCTCCAAATAGCAGATGTCACCCTTCGAGTTGTATTCTTGCTGTTCTTGCCATGTTTTTAGCTAGTATTTCGACTATTTTTACTCTTGAAACGAGTGAAATGTACGCCATTTTTGTTTTCACAACCAAAACAACTCAACCTCGTCCCCAGGTCTTCTCGGTTATCGATGCATCAACCTGAGGCACTTTTGACGTCATCGGCTCATTAATCGCAAAATTCTTTCAAATTAGGTCATCAGTAGCTGGTTCTGGCTAATTATGCGTGTGCTGTTAGCCAATCAGAATCGGGGAAATATTTTGAATGAATGATTATAATTATTAATGCTGAGTCACTGAGAAGCATGGAGGCGGTACCTTACACAACACAAATTATGCTATCTGCAGGAGAACCAGTTAAATTTAAACTAAACATCGTGTGGACTTAATTAAATACTTCGTTTCAGTTAAAAACGTTGGGTAATGAAGCAACAGCCAGATAACCCGCGGGAGTTATTATTCCTTCAAAACATTTCCCCAATTCTGATTGGCTAAAAGCACACGTATATTTCACTATAGCCAGTTACTGATGACCAAAGTTGGAAGAATTTTGTGTTTAACGAGGAAATGACGTCAAAAGTGCAGCCCGCTACAGGTTAAGGCACCGTTAGCCGAGAAGACCTGGGGACGAGGTTGGGTTGTTTTGGTTGTGGAAACAAAGATGGCGAACACTTCACTCGTTTCAAGAGTAAGAAATGGGCGAAATAATAGTTAAAAACATAGCAAAAACAGCAAGAAGACAACTCGGAGGGCGACATCTGCTATTTGGAGAATATTTGCGGAGCTGGACAAACCTAAACTTACACTATCGAAGATGAACTTAACATCGATGCAGGTAAGCATTTTTTAGCTATGAACTAGGGATTACTTTGAATGAATAATAAAGTAATAAATAAATTCGGCTTTCGTAGGATATGAAGAATTAAGCAGATCTTGGAGGGTGTTATCTACCGAAGCCGAAGGCCAAGGTGGATAACACCCTCCTCCATCTGCTTAATTCTTCATATCCTACGAAAGCCGAATTCATTAATTGCTAATTAAGTCATGAGCTTATGACAACTACATCTGTCGCGTAAGCTGAGAAAAAAGCATTCAGCCTACCATAAATAAAAATCATCGATTAAGAGAGTAATTCTTGTTTTAAAAGGTCGTTAACAGTAAAAAAAATAAAAATAAAAAAAAAAACTGTTTGTTTGCTTAACAGAGCAACTTTTAGTTTTTAATAACTCACCAATCTTACTCGAAGCCCTTAGGAAAAATACCCGGAAAAGTAAGCCTTCACACCCCCCCGGAAATTGCCTCCTTTTGGACTCCCTCCCCCTCGGAATTTCCCTTTGCCCTCTGTGGGAGGTATGGATATTTTCTGGAACTACGCATTTCATTTCATTCTTACTTATCTTCATGTGTACTTACTGATTTCGAGAAAATTTCAAAGCCATATTTTAAACTCGATTTTGGGTGCCCAAAATTAAAAGAAATTCAGTGTTGATTTTCTTGATGTCCTGATTCCTTTTCTCGTAAAGTCTGGCGCTTAGTGCAAGATCGATGACCAATGACATCGATGATCGCAGGATCGTTGTTCATTCAGGTGTTGAAGACGCTTATATCGGTAGACAGTAAATTGATTTCAAAAAACTATTGATCTAAAAACGTAATCTACATCTGGTTGTTGGTATCCCTCTTTACGTAAACACCTTATCACATAAAGGCACTAAATTATTGGCTTCCAGCAGCTTATAACCTTAATGTGTCTCTCCATGCAACGGTGTTTTCACAGGGCAACCAGTTCAATTTTAGATCGATTTTTCCGTGAATTTTGAATATTAAATAAGTTTCACAAATCAGTCATCAAAAACCGGAGACTAGGAAAAGTTTTTGTGATGTTTGGATAGCATTTACTACTTCTTTTTGTAATTATCGCACTGTGGATGCGCAGGAATACGGAACGGTGCTTACATTTTCGTGGCGAAAAGTGCTCACGATTATGCTAAAGATATAATTTTATCTGTGAAAGCGCCAGATTTGCACGCTCCCGGTTATTCACTATTTTCAAATAGACCATAATACACCTTTAACCCCCTCAAATTTTGCATTTTAATTCCTCCTGGGTATAACAGTAGTTCCAAGAGAAATCGAAGACAATGGTTATGCATCATGTTGGGGAGTAAACAAGATGCATTATGGTCTATGTGAAAATGGTGAATGAAAAAGGAAAGGAAAAATTCAAGTTTCGATTTTTCCTTTTTTGTACATGGAACAGTATGTCTTTCACGACAGATTTGAACAAAAACCCATTTCCCATAAATACAACTGAAATAGATATCAAGGCTTGTAATCACTATGAATACAGCATAAACCGTTATACCGTATATGTCACCTCATTAATTTAACATGTCTTTTTAGTAAACTTAATTTGGCGTGTTTGTCTGAAAATTTTACACGCGACGAAAACGGAGGTACCCATAGAGCGGCTCACTGCCTTACCGTAAGATTACGAACCTTTCTCGGCACTAACAACTAATTGAAGAACAATTGTCAGCGGCAATTTGGAATTACTATATCCGCACCAAGTTTCAATCTACATTTCATACTAATTTATTCCTGAACCCATAGTCCGCACTCCAGTGCAACCTTTATGGTTTACGTGCCAGTCACGCAACCATTAAGCCCCAGCCACAGCCGCAAGACAATTGCTTTGTGCCATTTGTTTGTCAGAAGTGTCCTTTATTTGGAAGATTACAGCTTCTCCGGTGATTTGAGGTTAGTGCGCTGATGTAGATAATAGGTATTATAAAAAGCATGTACACATGTATGAAGGTGTACTACACCTAAATTACACTCCATGCACGAAAAGCTGAACGTACGATTATCAGATTTCAGATTATCGGCGTTTGAAGACTCAACTTGTTGATTCACTCGCTAAACAGGAGTATGCTAATGATTTTTGTTATGAGCTCAAACTCGAATTTTCCATCATTTTGCTTTGGCGGTGCAAATTTAGACGATCATTCTTTGAGTTTAGATTAAAGTTCATTCATTTGCATAACTGAGCACGCAAACGACATAGCATTTTTCTTTATCGGTTCAAAATTTTCTGTGTAGCATCGATAAATAGTTCTTTATTATAGCTGGTCTTAGTTAGCTCCCAGTGTTGAATTACCTTGGTCCAAAGAGATTGCTCTCTCCTTTCTCTTCAAACGAAGTTGATCCCTGAAGTTAATTTGACCGGAAACAAAAACAATCGAGGCCAGGAAGGTACCTTTGTTAAAAAAAAAATTAAAAAAAATGACCGACACATCTCGCAAATAATGCAATTAGGTCAATTAACAACTGAAAAATGTCACGCGCTATTGAACTTGTAACGATATTGTCTGACGGGTGGCACAAAATACACAAAAGGAAACGCAACATGTACACGGAAGGCATTTCACAAAAGAAAAAAAATCTGATATCGTTAAAGCGGTTTTGCACTAACAAAAAAAAAACACACACACAAAACAAAACAGAACGTTCTTATCAGCTCTGCTGTGTTTTTAAATAATCCGTCCATTTCACGTTAGCTTCAGCAGGACAATTACCATCACATCCACGAATCACTAATAAGCTACAGTCACGCCACGCTTCATAAAAAAGATCCCAACCCAAACCAACCCATCCCCATTGGGGGTCAATTTTCTTTCACCGCTCTAACGAAATTACCTGTCAATGCACTCTTTTCGCCTGCCTTATTTAGAATTAATTAGTTTGTGAGAAGTTTACACCCTGAGACATCGCAACTGTGTGGTGTGGGGTATTGGACGTGTGGAGGGCCGTGCTCTCCGTGAAGAATTAAAAAGGGAAATGGAAGCCACGAAATGAAAAATAAATAGATCGACGCTCGCAGACAGACAGACAAAGAGGTAAACAGACTGTAGGTAAGCAGACAGGAGGTTAAGAAGAGCAGCAAATTTATGGAGGTACAGGGAATTAACACAGTGCATGAAAGCGCTACAGTTTCCTCCATTATAGGGAATAGCTAAAAGCAAATTACGCGAGGAAAAGAAAAAATCGTTGAGCCTCCTCCTTTCGGATCCACTGTTACTCTACCGACTGAGCTACGAGGCCATGGGAAAGAGAGCAAGTCGTGGGTGGTTATGATGGTCAGTTGCGGCGAAGAGAAAGTATTTTACCCTTGTAACGCAAATGTTGGAACAAAGATTCATCGCTGGAGTGCTTCTAGAAAACAGCCCTAGCTATTCCCGTTAAGGGTTACCCGGCCCTGAGGGAATTACGGAACCATGTGAGGGAAGAATAATTCTTTGAACCTCAGGAGGAATCAAAACCATTCTTTTTTCTTCGCAAATTAAAACAATCAACACCGTCTGGCCTAAATAGCTTAATTGGAAGAGCATAGGTAGATCTCATCCATAGGTTCGGACGGGAAGTTAGGCGGACAGATGTAACGGTTTGATGAATAGGTAGTTAGACTAATCGATTAAGTTACCGACTAACCGGCTGACGAATTCAGTTGGCTGGTTTAGTTTACCTGCAGACTGACTAACTTTAAATGAATGAATGATTGATTATATATTAGACGGTAAAACAGTCGGGTTTTTTTTTTCTCAAAATAGGTTTAGCGTAGCGGAAGAGTCTCATGCGCGAAGTATGCGAGCCTTACAAGCCCGTAGGGCGTGTAGGTGAGAGAAAAAAAAGCGTATTTTTAGCGTCTCTCCCCAGTATCGCTCTCTGTTTTCAGCTTCGCTCCAGGCCTTTTGTTTGACTGTTTGCGCTTACCTGAATACTCAAAAGTACGGCCTGTTTTGCAGTCTAATTATTACATGGTATCTTTTCTATGGTGAAAATTCCTCCTGAAACAGACAATGTCACGTTATAAACATTAAAAAAGCTCCTTCTTACAACCGTGACTAGTCCTTCACGTGTTTAGTGCTTTATCTAAAGTCTTTATATTTATTATGAATACTTGCCTATATTTTTAAAAGTTCTTCCGATTCTGTAATACTAGCAGTAATTACTGTAGACTGTTCCACTGATCCAGGCTCCCAGATAGTGAAGAAAGCGGATCGCAAAAAACACGTTGAGCGAAAACCACGCGGGTTTTGTTGATGATTTCATTTCTGTTGTGACTGAGGTAACTAAAGCTGTTAGAATCCGAGAATGAGTTTAACTTTCATGCTCCTGAATATCGTCAAGCAGTCGAACTTTTACACAGAAGCCACTGTTGAAACAACATTAGGTCAGACTCGTACCCAGTCGCTATTTAAGTGTTTTTTGGGATGGGGCTAGGGAGAGATGGAGAACTGGAAACTGTAAGCATAGTTTTCAATTTTTCGCTCGTTCGCTATTTCACTCCTCGCTCACTGCTTGTTCGTCCGCACTGATCGAGAGCCTGGTTGGCTTTGATAGATTGTGCTAGCGTATTTTTTGCCATAATTCGTCATTACGAGCATAATTTTCATCTATTTTCCGAAAAAAAAAGCGCTGCTGTCATTTATTGATCATGCAACCAAGTTTTTGGGCCCGAGATCAGTGTTACAAGCAAAATCATTTTCTTTTGTGGTCTACGTATTGTCACATTCATGGGACGTTGGTCCCAAAGGAAGTTACCCAGGGCTCTTTCCACAGAACTACGCATGCGCATATCTAGCTCGGTTACCTGGTTGTTACGTGTTTGAGTTTTTATAGTTTTCAGACAATGAATCATGCACTCTTCAAGTTTCTAGATGTAAATAGACTGAATATGTTTGCTATTAATAATTTTAGAAATATACGAGCATTGCTATATATCGATCAGAGCCAGGCACAAATCTCAAATGAATGATCCGAAGGTAAGGTCCGAGGGGGGGGGGTGTACTGCCATATATGGGCTATATAGGTATGTGCCGCTGTGAAGGGTATGGTTTTCAAGCAATTTACTTTAGGATACGGTATATAAATCAGAGAGTTTGGGTCTAGAATGGGGTACATTTTCCAGGAAACTGATCAGTTGGTTGAAGATTTCATCTAGACTAGGGATTGTGGTATAAGGTTTTGTTTTGGCTAAACTGTGCTAGTGACCTCAGTAGTTTCTGGAAAACAGCTCCTCTAGGATAGGGGGGATTTGGGGAGTTTACTCTAGTATAGGGTAGCAAAATTCAGCTGAACTAGCTCTGGTATAGGTCAAGGGTTCCAGGGTCCCAGCGGCACATCCCCACCCAGAAATTCCGAAGGTACCTACCTCGGGCGTAGGGTTAGTTTATGTATGTATGTATCTAAGTATGTGTTTATGTAATATGTATCACCACACTCATAGATGACGCTGACAACGGATCAGTACCTTGAGAAGATCGGAAGCTTTGGTCGTTATCAAATCTCTCTTCTGATTTTTCTAAATGGCTTGATGTTCTTCTGGTTTGGTTGGCCTGTTATGATAGTGGCCTTTATCACCGCCGAGCCGGCCTGGAAATGTGTGTCCAACAGCAGTGTCTGTCCGCTAAACGGAACCATGAGGCCCAGACACGACAATTACAGCTTCAGATGTGACATTCCTCGTGATCAGTGGGAGTTTGTTGATGATTTCACTTCTGTTGTGACTGAGGTAACTAAAGCTGTTAAAATCCGAGAATGAGTTTAACTTTCATGCTCCTGAATATCGTCAAGCAGTCGAACTTTTACACGGCAGCCACTGTTGAAACAACATTAGGTCAGACTCGTACCCAGTCGCTATTTAAGTGTTTTTTGGGATGAGAGAAGATTGGGGATTAGGTTGAGGCGCGTGACGACGCTATTTTTCCTTCTTCCCTTCCCATGAGACCCCGCGCGCGCCTCAACCTAATCCCCAATCTTCTCTCATCCCAAAAATCACTTAAATAGCGACTGGGTACGAGTCTGACATTAGGTGGCTATGTACTGTGTAGGTCGTGTAAAGATGTCCGTTATGTAGAAGTAATGGTGTCAGTATGATCCGCAGTCCATAAAAAAGAATTAAAGATTATCTTCATTGGAAGCTACGTAAAATCTGAATTACGATTGCTCTTTGTCCCACTATTGTTAGTGTTTGTGGTCGCGTAGTCTTCTTAGATCAGGGAATAAGATATCAAAAGTGTATTTTCCTGTTTGGGAAAATGCTACGCTGGCAGTTTTAATTTACCAATATTGGAAAGGTGTTATCGAAGAAACTAAAACAAAGACAAAAAACGTACAATAAATTTTTTGTAGGTTTTGCTAGAGCATGTTTTCTCAAGGGATCAATCAGAGCACACAGCCAGGATCGAACCTGTAACGTGTCTTATGCGCGGGAAATCGTTTGGAAAAGTTTTACTATACTTCTGACGGGCTGGAAATTAAAAGGTCAACGGAGGATTGTTTTAGCTAATTACACCGCGCAGTGATACAAAACAATATCAAGTTACCTCCCACCTGGCTGTAGAAACCACTCTGTTTTCGAGAAGCTATCTGATAGTAGTGCAATGACTAGATTTTACAAGTACACGAACTAAGCTTCCTGAGAAGTTAACTTAAAGTTAACTTATTGCTAGCTAGCCCTGTTTAAGGTCAATTATTTGCCGACATCATTGGTGCCGCTAGCCATACACGAAGTGATCCTTAAGAGTCAAAAAGAAGACATCAAATAAATTTCACCAGGGAGCACTAACCTAATACCAGTTGTATTAGAAAACCGCAGGTCATCTTGGGGGGGGGTGCGCACCCCCTGCACCCTCCCCCTAGATCCGTCCCTGAAAACCAGACCATTATGTTTGGAGTTCAATTGATTCGAAGATACGTTTTACCTTTTTAAAAAGACAGCAAATGGCGTGACATCCCTCTAAGCTCTTCCGCTGACATGTTTGCATTGTCTCTTTTGATTGAACAGTTTGACCTGGTATGTGAGCGGGGTCTATACGGCACTATTGGATCGTCTATGATATTCGTTGGCTTTTTTCTGGGAGGAGTCGCAGTGGGTCCATTTAGCGACAAGTTTGGCAGGAAAATCACCATGTACATATCTGGAGCTATCGTTTCTATATTTAGCCTTGTAGCAGCTTTCCCGCACGCATTTTGGCTTTTTGCTTTCTTTCGATGCCTGATTGGATTTGGAATAGGTTAGTCAAAAAGTGACAGTGGCCTGTTTTATTATTATTATTTATATTATTATTATCATTATCATTATCATTATCATTATCATTATCATTATCATTATCATTATCATTATCATTATTATTATTATTATATTAGATTTTTAATTTTTTTTTTTACTGCAGAAGCTATTTTATCACCAAATCAAAAGACTATATACGATGATGCTCACAACTTAGTATCGCACTATAGCTAAACAAAAGTAGTCTGCGACTACAAAACATAGCCTGCAGTGCAGGCGTATTTTGGGTGGGCGAAACCTTGTTCGTGTTCGTGATATTGTTGTAGACGCCATCTTTGATTTTATGACTGTGGAAGATTGGGGAGAGTAGAAATAGTAACCCTTACGGTAGGTGCGATGGCGCCCTTTGACTCGCCCCATCTCCTCCTCTCCTCGGGAAGTTTCAACATGGCGCTTTCGCGAGCAAATTGCGCGCTAAAAGAAAACGCCTGCACTGCAGGCTATACAAAACACAGTAATGAAATAAATGAACAATGTGCTATATTTTCTTTAACACTCGCCAATCGTTTCTCAAAAGTTCTAACTTTCTTTTGGCAGGCAATTGCATACGCAGCGTAGTCTATAGCTAACTAAGATCTCTGTAAAAGCTAGTGCTCCCGCGTCATTGAAATCTTTGAACAATGTCTACGATCTGTACTGTAGAAAGTTGCGTAAGACTTCAATTCAACCCAATCAGTTAATTTTTTGGTGACCAATCAGAATCGGAACACGTGTCAGTATTTCAGCCACTACTTCATGGAAGAATATCAATACCAAGTAAAGATTTTTTTGGTTGAAAAAAAGTCCTGACACGTTTTTTCTCCCGTCAGGTGGATACAGTATTGCCTCGTATGTTCTACTGACAGAGCTCGTGGGAATTCGCCACCGAAGCACTGCCGGTTGTTCCATTTGGTATTCATTCAACCTATCCAACATGGCGCTGGCCGGACTAGCATATCTGGTTAGGGACTGGCGAAAGCTCTCTCTAATAATGGGTGCTCCAGCAATTCCTTTTCTTCTTGGATGGTTGTAAGTCCCTTTACCCTTATTTGATAGGTTTTGTCAGTAATCGAACACGAGAAACCAGAAACTTGGGGGAAAGGATTCGAAAAAAGGAGCGTGCCCGCGAAACATGTTCTCATAATGAGGTCATTAATCTTTGTAAGTTTATATTGAATTACACGCTCATAGTTTCTCATTCGTGGTTCAATATGCCATCGCACTTCGAGTATATTGGCATTTCAAAGGTAATTTGTTTCCTTATTCGATCACTAGCAAACTGGCTTCAATTACCTGTCGGTAAAGTTATTGCACCGAGAAAAATGAAGCAAATCAGCTATAATTTTAACAATGTTACCAGTACTTACACTGGGCATAGGTAATGGAATAGGTAATGGGATTAAGAGCATAATTTATTAGTCTCGCTTGCTTTAGCGGCGAGACTCAGAAAATGCAAGTGTTTTTATTTTTCTTTTTTCGTAGTGTCTGCCATAAATAGTGGTGGGTCGTGGTCCCAGGCGTTCCTAGCGGAGACCGTGGAAACTGGGGATAAGAATCGTGACCACTTTCATTGTCTACAAATGAGTCTCGTAATGAGCATCCGGTTTATTTTTGGCGATGACTGAAATGACGCATTAAGTTGATCACGTTTTGGCTGTTTGGCAATGATGTAATTTTTCCCGAATCGACGCCCTTCAGTTTCGTGTAATTATACACGCATATTAAAAAGTAAATACCCTTGAGAATACTCGACCGTTGATAAAGTAGGATGAGAAAATGATATAGCGGGAAAATCCTGTTTTGTGGTGTATTGCCGAGGCGTCACGTTTCTCAGAATATTGCTGCAATAACTGGAACTCTACGGTTAAATAGATTCACTTTGTTGTATGTATTTAACTGATAGATTTTCGCAGTTGATAAGATGTGAAGTCGCGTTTACTTGACACGTCAATGATTTAACCTTCATCTGCTCTTGGAAGCAACTTCAACTACCCGTCTGACGTTACGTATGTGTCACGGATGTGTTTGTACGGGAAGCTTTGTACTTGTCTGTTACGCATTCTACTTGCAGCCTTCATGTCCATACAACAGAAATCCCATGTCGAGCTTTTCCGGAACGGGTCGGTTCACGAATTCTATTGCTTGAAAGCGTTGGAACAAGTGATTACTTCAGTGGTCGAAAAAAAAAAATCTTAATGAGCACAACTTCGATGGTGAAGTTAACTGGTCGGGTGTTGTAAACTTTCACTGTATGCAAATGAGTCTTGTGATGAGCATACGGCTTATTCTTGGCGATGATTGAAATATCACGTGTCATTAATTTTCGTTTATTTATCAATTCAGAAAGAAATCGTCGAATACGATATAAAAAGTAAATATCCTGAAGAATACTCGACCGTCGATAAAGTAGGAGTTGAAAAACTTTTAGAGAGGAAATCCTGTTTCGTGTAGAATTAATCGCCTCCTAGATCGCGAGCAGTCTTATTTTTCTTTTCAGTCACAGTAGGTCGAGAGCGTAATTTTACTTTTTCGCTCGCCGCGCGTGGCTCTGAGAAAAGAAGGACGAGACTCAACGCTACTAAGAGCATTCTTGTTTTATTTGGGTTAGAAATGTAGCAGAATTGGCCCTGATTACATGAGCCGGGCTTGCCCGTTTTGCCGAGCTGGCATCGGTTTGCCATGGCGACGTAAATACCCTGAAGAATACTCGGTTTTGCCAAGGTGACGTTTATCCTGTAGACGTGATTAGAGCCAGCTCCGAGCCGGTATGTTTACAGATAGATTAAAAGGATTGCGCATGAGCAGTGTGTTACTCGCGGTCCTGTTGCTAAGTCCTGTTGCTGGTTTGGTTCGCCAGGCTTACCCGGCGTGCGTGCCGGATTACATGGAACATTTCCAGCCGATTCTGAGCCAGGATCCCGGCATTACGGTACCGGGTTCCTGGCCATCCAGGCTTGCTCAGCTGTCATATAATCTTTTTTTTCGCGTTTTATCAACGTGCCAAGATCTCGGCAAGTGAGCAAGCACAGCACACGTGATCACCCCATGATAACAACATAACGTTTTTTTTTCTCCGTGCATTATCACAGTTTTTCTCCAGAATCAGTCCGTTGGTTTTTGGTGAAGGGCAAAACAAAACAAGCGGAAAACATCCTTCACAAAGTAGCTAAATTTAACAAGAAGCCGATACCGCATGAAAAACTGCAGGACTGTGAAAAACAGCGACTTGGAGACTTGAGAGATTTGTTCAAGTCTAAATCAATAGCGCACAAGACCCTTGTTTCTTGGTTTTGCTGGTGAGTTATCAAATTTTCAATTTATTTTAATTCCTACACATGCTTCTGCATTAATAAATTCAGGCTAAGTACTCAAAACAAAAACGCAAGAGTGACCCTCGTCTTAAACTGAGCATTAAATGAAAGAGCTTTTTCTTTTCGAAAAAATCAGTTTAAAAAAGAAGCTTTTCTCTTTTTTACTGTTCGGGTGAGTTTTACAGCAACAAGTGCGAAATAGCCGGCAACATGCATGAAGAGCGGGGCATTCCTAAGTAAAAACACGAAGTTTACATGTTGTTTAGAGTAGTTTAGGGCGCAACGGTTACTTGATTTTGTTTGTTTGTTTGTTTATTTTTCTGGGGAATCTCATTAATTTGACTTCATCTTATGGATTATGGATAAAATGCGGGAAAATCTTATTTACATAAGGCCGTACCCTATGCTTAGGTGATTTAACCGGTTTGACAAAGACATAAAGAGGTGGGGAGAAAATAAAATAACTGAAGAGAAAAGAAATAATTGACATTTAGTTCTGCGATTGCTTGTCTGTGCGATTAAGCATAAGTTAGCAAGGTCGTGAGTTTATTTCTAGCTGTTTACAGTGCTGTAAATTATTTGCGGTAATCAAAGCTCTCAACATTTACATTTACCGAAGTTTCAATGATAAAACAGTTTTTTTTGTTGTTTTCTTTTTCAATTTAGGTTCGTTAATGGCATGGTGTATTACGGAGTGTCCTTCAGCTCCCCCACAGTAGGAGGCAACATGTATCTCAACTTCTTTATAACAAGCACCATTGCACTAGTGGCTTACCCCGCTTTGGCATGGGGCTGTAACCGGTATGCAACCTTGCTTGTTTAAGGTTATGCTTCCGCACCACACACTAGTCAGTTTCTCCGTTAGTCAATGCTCTCCTGCGCTCCAATGCCTTAGTCATTGATGCATTTGTCATTTACACTCCACCATTCTTTTTAATTTCTTTACTCTCTTCATTTGTAATTTAAATAGCTCAAATAGCTGAATTACACCCTCGCTCATCTTACTACGTGACTTTTTTTTTACCATTCTTGTAGATTTGGTCGTAAGAAAACCATCTGCTGCGGTCTGTTTTTCTCTGCTTTTGGTGCCTTTGGTTCGGTATTACTTACATTATTTGATGATGGAAAGAACACAGGTATAACAATTTTTAACAAGCTATCGTATAACTCGAGTATAATTCTAACGGTTTTGGATAACATTTTTAAACATGTGACTCCCACCCATTGTCGTTTCTCAAGAAGTTGTCAGCAAAACATCGTTAATGTAAGGCATTTATTCACGTTTTAGGTCCTTTAAGTTTTCTGCTTTTTCTCATTAAAAAAAGGACTTTTAATATATCAAATGTAGCTTTTTTATTAAAAAAAAACATCATTTACGTGAGGGAAACATGTTTTACATACATGTACATCAATTCAAAGAAATTGACGACAAAAATGGAAGCAGTATATAAAGTGGAGAGAAAAAAGAACTAATTACAGTATTCTCAAGATGAAAGAAACAAGTGTGTCTCTTTTAAAACGCGAGGGCGGGGTTAGGCCGACGTAAAGATAGTATTGTCTGGGTTTCCCCGAAAGCAACGTCTGCATCCCAATCATATTTATAGATTAGCCTTTTAAAAATTAGTTTCCCAGTTTACCCTAGGGGTAATGTGGCGATCTAAAGAAGAACGCAATTCAGACGTTTCGTTATGTAAATAATATCAACTGCTTTTCTAAAGTCTTTGTTTCATTTTAATGTTTCCTGTTTTAGGAATATTAGTTGGGAAAATAATATTTTCACTATGTATCGCCAAGTTTTTCATCGTGTTTGCTTTTGACGGATTCTACGTTTATTCAGCTGAGCTGTTTCCAACTGTCATTAGGTAAATGTCTTCTCTTTTTCTTCTATTCACATCCAGGCATGAGGCATGAAAACCTTTTGTTAGTGTTTTTAAAGATTTTCAGTAGTTTACATTCTCGCCAAGGGAAACAGTTAGAAAGACTGTCGTCAAGCATTGTCTGTATTTAAAGTAGTTATAAACTAATCAGTGTTCCTGCAATCCACAGAAATATCGGTATGGGAACCTCGACTTCTGCTGCTCGTGTTGGTTCCTTCCTTTCTCCCTACGTTGTCTTTTCGGTACGTTTATCCTATTTTGAAGTGACCTGTCATTAAATGCTAAGATCAGCAATGTAAGGCCTGAACAAAATCATCCTTGGAGACCCTCTGGTCAATCAGTCGGGTCGGAAGAAACAGGGCGACGACTTTTTTAATGCCTTGGTACTTGAAGACTTTTGTTGTACAGTTTCTCCTGATCCGACTATACTGGCCATTAGTCTTCAAAGATGTTACATTTTGTGTCAGAAAGCGAAAACGTTTTAAGAAGGTCATGTGAAACTTTTTGTCACCGTATTTTTTGGGTTATAAGGCGCAACATGTGTTCACCAAATGTTGGATTAATATAGCTCACAATGTGTTGTAATTTCGCGGTGCGTCTCAAGGCAAGAAAACAAAATTTTGCCAACTTTTTTACTTTAAAAGCTCTACCTGTTCATCCTCTACTTTGTTACCTGTGGTCAATGAAAGTTTTGTCACTTAAGTAACATTCAGAGGATATGATTTTATTCAGAAGGCCCTTGATGATACCATGAACAATGACATTTTTTTTGGTCTATTTCTTGGTTTTAGTAATTGCGGATAACTTGTGACTTAAGGAATTATACAAGTACCTTCTCTGGAAGTTGACAGTTGTTGGAAGCCCTCCTATTCACACCGTGCTCCAGTTTGAAATCCCAACGAATTAGGTTTAAATAACAAAACAAAAGTCATCTAATCAATTGACAAGCCCTCGGTCATAAGGACATATTAAGTACGAATTGTCGATGATTGTCATTTGTTATCTTCCTCTACAACAGCAACGTGTTCATCCTCTCCTGCCGTTTGGCATCATGGGTATCAACGCTTTGATTGCCGCGCTACTATGCATGACATTACCAGAAACGCGTAACCAACCAACTTTGGAGACCTTTACAACATCAGATCAACAAGGTGACACTATGAAAGAGATGATGGTTAAGGAAAGCGATGATGGACATACAGATGACAGCCGTTTGTAA